ATATATATATATATATCATGCCTAGTCAGTTGAATAGTAGACAGTGTAAGTGGAATAGGTTCATCCATGATCGGACGCCGATTACATCACGGTGTGCTGTCAAATTTAATTAAACGGTTCTGACTCGCAATCGTAAATCCAATATATACTCGCAATGAAATATTCGCATAATCAAAATTACATTTGCCTATGATGATCATCCAAAAATATTATGAAGTATTACATATTGCTAACATCATAACATTTAGAAATAAAATAAGTGAATTTATTTTTTTATTTAATATCAATAGTATTTTGTTTAATCATTAAAAAATTTATTTCATGAGTTAAATTTTAAAAAGGAAATCTTAAAAAGGAAATTTTAAAAAGAAACGCATTTTAGACGATTTGAGGAATACGCAAGGATCGTTGAAATTTATCCTTTTTTTAAAACTCAGTTTATTTGCTGAATCCGAGAACCATAAAATACTTATCGTTCGGAAAATATAATTTTGGTAGTTTTAATAGAAAAAATGGTTGATTTTGTCATTTTGTCGGGCCATGTATAATTTCTTTTTGTTTACATATATAAAAATTATCTTTTCTAATTAAAATAAATTATTATTATTGAAGTCGGGACTTTTACACTATATAGGGTGTTTTGTTATTTTTTTTTTATTTTTTTGTTTTGTATTTGCATATAACTTCTTATTGTTTCTGTATTTGCAATTTATCTTTATTTTTTTTTATTCTTTATTAGACGCGTTCAGATTCCCATCTAAGTCTCATGTGTTATCCTTTAACATTCGGTGAACAAGAAGGATAAAATGACATCTAGATGGCACTTGAGTGGGAATCTGTACATTCATTTATATAATTTTTAAAATTTCTTTTAGTAAACCAAATTTGTAGTAATTTAAATTATACAGATATTGCACACAATATTTAATTTGCAAACAATAGAAATAATTTTTACATTTTCTGGAAAGAAGAGGAATCATGTTTATTATCTTTACATAATCTTTGTGCTGTAGGAAAGATTTTTCTTGTATAAGAGTTTTAAAAATGTATAACGAGACTTATCGTAATAATCTTAATGGACCATAATTTTCTTTTATATAAGGCTGTAGCAAAAACGATGATTTGCAATGAAAACGGAACGACAAAAATTTTTGAATATAATTTTTTTGTAATACATATTATTTTATAATTAAGTATCGTTAACAAAATGCTAAAAAAATGATTATATATGCGCTTTGTTAATATTTTGCACGTGCTGTTGTGCAGCTTGGATAGTTTAACTTTAATTTTGTAAGCTTTATTAAAAGTGGGTATAAATTATGTGTGCGTGTGTGTGTGTGTGTGTGTGTGTGTGTGTGTGTGTGTGTGTGTGTGTGTGTGTGTGTGTGTGTGTGTGTGTGTGTGTGTGTGTATAAAGAAACAGAAAGTTTTATTTTTTCCGATGATATAATTTTCAGTGTTGGATGAAGTGCCTTCTTTGTGAAGCTTGTATATATTTTCAGCTGATATAAGATAGCTTTGTATAGTTATATAACTTTTTGTTTTATACTTTCTGTTTGTTTCAGTTCATAAAATCTTTTTACAAGTTTCGTGCAAGTAGCTTTGTCATATTTCTAGGGAATATTCTATTTGGTAAAATTTATTTTTGTCAAAAGATAAAATTATTTCCTGTATACCTGTATACCCGTATATAGTGATGGTATATTACATATCGAGTCAAAGAAATACCTCAAGATCCATTGTTGATATTGCCTTATAAAATATATAATAGCATTTCTTTTGTGAGATATACTTTTTAAATTCTTGAATTATGGATTGTCTATGCTTAAACCTATGCTCGTATGTGATTACATAGTTGGACAAAATACTTTTTTCTTTTTAAAGTGTGATAATACATATCTCGAAGCGATTTTTGCGATTTTAAACATGTCATCGTCAGAATTTGCGTAGTAGTAAAAAAGTAGCATTTTTTACGCCATCTCATTCCAATTTACTAAAATCTTGATGATTTACATAAATTTTGACGGTGATATTGCGTTCAGCACGAAAACATTTTCAGGATGTATTCTGTCCCAGTAAATAAGATACATTATGAAACATTTCAACAACTTTACAGCAACGTTGTAGCGTTGTTTACCGAGACATTTCGGAGAGAATTCGGTGTTAAATCATACTGTACACAATACGAGTCTTTTCCAGCATTTCAGAAAAGAATACTTATTTTTTTTTATATTAATCCATGAAAATACATATAATTGCTTTCCATAAATTGAAAAAAAGTTCTATTTTTTAAATTTACAATGTAACTAATCGGATTAAAATATATTGTAAATTATGCATGTATTAAAACGAACCATTTATTTTATGCTTACAGAAGATGTAGACGATTTTCAAGCTGATGACTCCTCGGATTATACAGACACTTTGGAAAATCTGATGCGAGTGGCACAAAAGTAAGTGAATTATCTTATTTGTCCAGTTTTATTTTCCTACTATTTTCCTCAATGAGATCTTTTCTGAGATCTCTGGATTACCTCTTTTCCTTCTTCATTGACTGTTACTGAAACTGTATACATTTTACGGATGTCGAAAACATACAATTATAATAAGACGTGTACATATGCGACTCTACAACATTATTTTTATTCTGTAACATTATTTTTAATTATTTATTTTTTTGATGAAATCTTTTAAGAATTAAAAAAATCAAAAAATAAAAATTTGAAAGATAATTTATTTTTACGTCTCTAAGAAAAAAATTATTTTTTTAGTATTTATAATCAACACACACACACACACACAC